CGTATGAATATACTTGTGAAAATTGAGTATGAGATTTGAATACAAGTTTTGCATCTAACTTAAAATAAAATGGTAATAGGTGAAGTAGCTCTTTTTGTATTTAATCCACATATTTCTTTGTTATAGACTCAATGTAAGATTTTTCTCACTCAACATGTTCCTTCATGTACACGCCTACTAAGAATGCATGGACGCTCCTAAAATGTTGGGTCATATCTTGTAGTTTAATACACCCCTTTGCATGAAAACTCGGTATTAATTTCAAGTCTTGTCAAGTGGGCTAATAACAAGTTTCTCATGACAAAATTTGGTCTTTGATGCCATCTAAAAATTGTGCATATGGATTCAATATAAGATTTGCATTCAACCTAAAACCAATTGACAATAGGCAGAGTAGCTTTCCTTATGTCCCTTCACATGCAAACCCGTTATAAATATCAGGTTCTGTCACATGACTTAAAACACTCTTTTACATGTAGGCCTAATATCAATTTTGAGTCATGTTAAATGGGCTAACAACAGGCTCCTCAAGATGAAAGCAAGGCTTTGATACCATGTAAAATTAGGCATGTGGGTTTCAACACAAAATTTGCATCTAATCTAAAACCAATTAGTAATAGGCTTTATATTTAACCCACATATTTTTTTTGTTATACAGTCAATGTTGGATTTTCCCATTCAACAATACTAAAGAATTGTGAAAGTAATGAAAGGCGAAAGGTGGGTGGCCAACTTAAGTTATGGTACTTGGTTTGTGAAATTAATAGTAAATTAAGTAAATGATTGTGCGTCTAATTATTGATATGATGGTGGAATTTAGCGTGAAATGTTGTAACTTGAGTGGGCATTAACTAAGTCCAGATTGTATGGAGTTACGAATAGGTGGTTGCTTGTGTGGGTTTACATTAAAATTGATATTTAATTATGGGAATATTAAAGCCAATAACATAAATAATTTAGTGATAATATCAATTTAATAGAAATAAAAAATTTTAAATTCAAATTCATGACATATAAATAAAATGGATTATAGATGGGATAAAAGATTGTCTCCCATTATATATCTCAAAATTAAAAAAATGAGCTGTGGGTATTGAAAGTTGGGAGTTAGTTAAACAAATAATATTGTAGGAAAGGACTTGGTTGCCAAATAGTTTATGATTGTGCTTTGAGATCAAATTACATTTGTCTTTTATAAGTTTGACTTTTTGAGGGAGATACTATTATTGGTAATGTGATAGAAACTTAGAAGACAGGGAAGAGACAACAAATCCATGAATGCTGAATTGGTTCTTATCTTATATTGAATTTCGACGTTATGGAACTTATGAAATTGAGGTGATGACTCTGGGTACATGCTGCATGCTGGGACTAAGGAACAAAGAGAGACAGAGAGAGACAGAGAGAGACAGAGAGAAGGGATTCTGGAGGTTGAAGGCCATGGGTGGCAGAGTATATATGAACCGCTTGGTGGAACTCATAAAAACTTAATTGACCATGGAACTAGTTCATGCTACATGGTGTTGTTGATTACGTAATTTGGTAATTTGACAAGAAAAAAAATAAAGTAGTGTTGAATATTTAAAGTGCTAATTAGTTGTTTTAATTATTTTGGTTGTCAAAGACTGGCTTGAGGAGTGATTAAATAATGTAATTTTTGTTAGGTTCCAAGTAATCTTTGAAATTTTGCTTCCAAGTAAGTTATCTTTGAGATTTTGCACTTCCACACCTAGTAGGACTTCCGTGGTGAGTAAGAAAATAGGTAAAGTTGGCAGCAGGTTTGACAAGTTTATTTAATTAAACAAGATATTATCTTTATTTTTATTTATTTTATTAACTTAATGAATATTAATTTGATTAAATTTTTATTAGTACCAATTCAGTTATTCAAACAAATAAAATTATTGTTTTACTCTCTTTCGTTTAATTAAAATATGATGTTTGACTTTAAAATATCATTTTAACTTTATTTTATGAATTGAACATGTTTTCTTCTAAACAACCATTTTGCCTCTGATCATGTTAATTTTAATCAACCACTTGATTATGCATGCTTAATGATCTTTAATCCTGAAACAATATATATTTTTCTTCATCCCTGAACATGATGGATTTATGTTCTGGTTTAAGACATGATAAGAGCTTGTTTTGTCGGGCCACAATGATTATGTATTATGTTTTAATAGTTTTATACTTGGTTGCCGATGGGCTACCCTGTTAAATGCTTGGTTCTCAATGGAGTTACACATCGGTGATGGTGACATGTTATTCAATCAAATAATTTATTTATTTATTTTTT